TGAACAGGTTTTTGTCCTGAAAAACTAAACTGAACTAAACCAAAACCAATCAATTTGAACCGGTTCAGTTCGGTTCGGATTTGATTTTTTCATATTTGGTTTAGTTATTTTTTTTGATAAAAACCGAGCAGAACAAAAAATGATTACCTCTACTTCAAATTCTCAAAACAACTCTTCAATTTATTTTTCCTTTAAATTTTATCAATATCCATTTGATTACTATTTACTTTATTTAAAATAATTTGTAAAATAAAAAAAAATCAGTTTCATTTGTTTTCAATTTATTTCATCCATTAAATTTCAAAGTAGCCCCTTTAATTTATTTTATATTCAGATTTAGTCCCTATTCTTTTTATTACTATTTTTTTAATTTTGAATAATTTATAGAATTATAAATATTTTTCAATTTCATCCCTCTTTAATTTTTTAACCTTTCAAATTTGATTCCTATTTTTTTATTGTTATTTGTTTTATTTGGGATTTTTTTTTTAAATTTCATTATTCTTCAGTTTGTTTTCCTATCAAATATGATTCTTATTTTTTTGAATATTGCTATTTTGAAATTTTAATTTTTTTATTTCATCATTGAACATTAAATTAGTTTATAATTAAGCTTCTTAGTTTATTGTTTAAGATGTTATGAGCTCAAGTTTTAGAAATTAGCCTAGTTTTACGAGGTTTGCTCTTTTTTTAGGATGATTTTTTCTTAGCTTCATTCTTTAGCATTTGTTCAATTTGATATTAGACTTTATTATATTTATTTATTTACTTTTTGGAGAATTTTACACTAATTTTTAAAATAACCAAGATTATATTGGATCTTTTTATTTGTCGTTCTTTGTTGATTTTTTTTGTTGCTAATTTCTTTAATGAATATTTTCTTTTTGATTCCATCCTTATCTATTTGGAATAATTTTTTTAATAATTTATAAAATTAAAACTCTTTTTCAATCTCATCCTCCTTGAATTTTTTAATCTTTCAAAATTGATCCTTATTATTATTATTATTATTTAATTTTTTTATATAATTTCATTTTCCTTTGGGTTTTTTTTCCTATCAAATATGATCATCTTTTTTTAATTGCTATTTTATTTACTTTGAAAAAAAATTAAATTAATATATTTTTATAATTTTATTTTTAATATTAAATTAGTTAGGAATTGAGTTTTTTAATTGAATTTGGATCTAAGATTTCACGAGTTGTGAGTTTTGGAAATTAACTAAGATTTAAGAGGTTCACTCGAATTTGCTTTATTTTTTTTTTACTTTCTTTGAGTTTGTGTTTTTTCAGTTTTGTTGTTATGCATTTATTCAATTAGAGACTGAGATCCATTATTTTTTTTGTATATTTTTTCTCTGATTTTGAAAATGACCCAAGTTATTTTAGATTTTTCTATTTTTAGTTATTTGTTAAATTCTCTTTCACTGATTTTTTTAATTGATTTCATTCCATCCTTCAAAATTAACATGGTTGAAAATTGAGTTTCTTAGTTCAACCCGGGTCTAGGATTTTATTGGTTATGAGTTTGAGACATTAACCCATGGCTAAAAGGTTTGTCCATGTTTGTTTTTTTGTTCTTTTTTTAAGCTTATATTTTTTTTTTTTATCAATTTCATCATTTATATTATTAGTGATCAGACTTCGTTCTTTCTTTATCTACTTTCTATAGGATTTTTTTAATGAAATTTCAAATTGATCTGAATTATCTTAAGTCTTTTTATTTGTCGTTTTTTGTTGGATTTATTTTAATAAATTTTTAGATTAATATTTTTTTTTCCAACTTCATCCTTCAACATTATATCTTTTGGGACTTAATTTTCTTTTTTGGTTCCATCCTTCAAGGTTGAGGGTTTTATATATATATATATATATATATATATATATATTTGATTTTGTGATTTTCTTCGATTTCCTTTCCATTAGTCTATCCTAGTCCCATCATTTAGAAATAGAATTTGATGGGTTGGTTTGAGTTGACTTTCTTTTTTTGGGTTTTTTTTTAAATGTAATATTGTTTGTCTTTTGTTCTCCAATATTAGCTTGTTTTAAAATTGAGTTTCACAATATTTCTTGGTTTGCCTTTTATTAGGTTATCTCATTTTCATGATCTAAATCGTGAAATTTGATTTATTATGTATTTTTTTAATATTGATTTTTTTAGATACTATCCTTTTACATTAAATTTTTTAAAATTAAACTTTATTTTTTTTAATTAATTTACCTTGGTCTCATAATTTAACTTATATATTTACATCAAACTAGTTTTTTTTAATGAAAAAAAAAAGTTATGGCATTCAGCATAGCAGGTACACAAAACTAGTGAAACCTACGTCTGATTACACATCTTTAGGCGAAAGAACTAGTAGGGAATGGTGAATCCCTATTTAATTGTGAGAAAGGAGAGTGCATTAATTAAGCCAAATGATTATAATTCGACTAGCTTTGAAAGGTAGCTTGAGGATTATCCTACCCTCTAGACTCTCCTTGTCTTACCCGGTTGCTTTTCATGTCGATTTCCTCGGTTCAAATAGTAATTAAATTATTTTAAATTAAATTTATTTTTAAATTTATCAATTAATTTATATCCTCCACAAATTCTTCTGTAAATGCATATTTAAAAATTCAATTTAAATGTTAAATCCAAGATGAGTTAAGAGTAAAAATCTAAACAATTTTCTTTAATAAATTGGTTTAATTCTCGATCGTATCTAAAATCTCATTCTTAATTAATCTTCGGCTAATTAATTAAATCATTCCTGCTAATCTTTCTTTCCGATGAGGATAAAATATAACTCATCTACTTAGATAAGGAAATGATATAATGAACTTCCCTAATCTGTCTTATGCTTCATTTATCTTTAAGTAAAACTGTTTGAGAAACCCTAATATTGTAAACTTCTTATCTTCCTTAAAGACGGACATTTCTCTATATTAATCTTCTGTGGAAGGTGTAAGACTGCAAGGAAGTTTCTACAAGAGGTTTTTTTTTTTTTTTCCCATGTTCTTACGAATACAAATATATTAATTGAAATTATCTGATAGTTAAGAGATTCGGCTTCAAACTCGAGTTGGTGGTCGGAAAGAAAACTTAATTTATTCTATACTCAAGTTAATTTGTTCAAAAATATATATATAAAAAAAAATAAAGGAGGTTCAGTGAGAATATTTTGATGAGATAAATTAATTGAGCTTCCATGCAGTCATCGTAAAAAAAATGCTGAAGTAAATAGAAATGATAGAGTGCACGCTACCACTGTCTGAGATGAGCACTTCTGCGCTTCCGGTTCAGGGATGCTCTTATTCTTCGCTGCATGGTCCAGCTGAAGAAAGTAAAAAGAACTCCACTAACAACTGAAAATGTTTGATGATCAAAACAACGTTTGCTGTGCTGTATTAAATGCTGCTGACAGCTCAGATATGAACTCTGAATTCGACATGAGCAAGATAGCAGATTGGAAGGTTCAGCAACAGCAGAACAACAATTTAACATTGTAACAAAAGGCAACTCCTGAGAGGCAGAGAAGAATACAGGAAAGGGAAAGCGTAGAGCAGAGATGGAATTAAGGAGAAACGAAAGAGCGAAGGAGAGGAGGGGGAGAGCAGCAAAATTATCTGTGTTCTGTGACTCAAAATTGCAACAAGACAATTGGAAAAAGAGGAGGAAAATGTCCTTACATACCCGAGGAAGTTGGCAGAGATTGTATTAGTGGAAACTTCAGATGTCTCGGTTGTAGACCAGTAGAATCACAGAAGTGTTTCTGCAGCCCATCTCCCCAGTCTCTCATAGAGACGAGTAATTGCCGCGATATGTTGAACTCTCCAGAAATCTTCACCGTGAGACCGCTCTATTTTCTTGATGAATTTTGAAGGCATATCCCACAGAACCAGGTACTCTATACTTTTAAGGTGTTCGAAGCCAATTGGCACTGCTTCTAGTTCCTCGCAAGCTGTGATGTCTAGTGTCCTTATCCCAGACATTGCTCCTTTCGCTACTCTGATGTACCGCAAACTCTCCTATTGTTGGAGACTGCTTCTTAAGCTTCAAATATCCTCCGCTGTCACAGCATAGTTCTTCCCCAATGTAAGCTTGGCGGAGATCAAGCTCGACCAAGCTAGGCGATTCCTGGAGGGCTTTCAGCGGGTCGCACTTCAAATTAGAGTACTGAAGCACTAGCTTGGAAATATATCGGTGCGAAGCAATCCATCCTGGTAAAGCTGACAAACAACATTTGAGGTACAGACGTTGGAGATATTTTGGGGGAGAAGAAAGAGAATCTAAATGTAAGAATTCAGCACTGTTCATTGCAACAACGTACGATGAAGTAAGGTGCTTCATCTTGTCCAAGGAAAAAGCCAATCCTCACATCCAAGATACTGGTGAGCTTTTCTTCTCCTTCTACCAGCCATGAAATCAGCAGATGTTTAGGGTTCTCTATTCCCACAACAGCAGCTTCATCTATGTAAAGAGAAGCTAATCAGGGGTCATGCCATTTCCCTACCGTGTGGCTACACTTTATTCGAAGAAAATGCGTTTCTTCTCTCCGAAATGGCCTTTGCCCTTGCCTTAATGCTCTGTAACTGGACTGCCTCCCGATTTTGAGCCTTTAATTTACGGATGTAACGATAGGAACTGCAAAGAGAATGGATAAAACCATTTCCTTGAGGTGGTGGTGAGCGGAGCTCGAGAATGTCTTCAGCATCATAAGCCACATCTCTCACTTGTTTCACCCCAACTTGCAGTCCTTGATCACTCTCACTTCTTGCTTCTGCATCCTGAAGGAAAGATTTCATGCTGTATAAATCATCCCTTACCTCATCGATTCCTCCCCTAGGTCCTCCTAGCAACCGAGTTTCTTGTGCTACGAAGGAAGCCAGTATCTCTAGCACTCTCTTCATTGCTATCATGGCCATGGCTTCTTGCTCCAAGAATCACCAATCTTCTCCTTCCTCTAGCCCAAAAATTGATGAAGTTTACTCACTGGAAACAATAAAACACCCTTGATTTACTTTCAAGCTTAACAATTTCTTTCCAGTGCTCTATATACAAGAAAGTCAGAAGTCATCAGAGTCTCTACCTATGAGATTCCAGTTTTGTTTAATTTTTTTAACTAATACCCCACCATCCATTGACCTGAGAACTAATCTAAAATTACTTATACTAACTTAAATTAAAGTAAATGCTTTCTTTCATACGATAATTTGAGTTAATTCTCTCTTTTATCTGGCAGTCATGGTCCTCCTAGGCCTTACCCTGGTAATCCTGAAAGGAATGCAGCAAGATCGCTAAAGTGTGGGTTGTCAACTTTAGTTTGATCCTTTCTTTAGTCTACTTTCTTGGAGAATCATTACGATTGCTAATGTACAGTTCACTTCATGATGTTTTTCTTAGAATTGCTAGATAAAATGGCTAGGAAACAATCATCATAGAAGTTCTGTTCTGTCAAACAATAATGTTCAAGTTCTTGATTCTGACTTGTTTTATGAATGCTGACAGCTACTTTCCTTTGCTTGATTATATAGAGATTGGATGTATTGCTACGAAGCTCACCGGTAGAAAAATTAACATAACTAGGTCTGCGGCTGGATTTCCTGCTTTCGCTGATTGTTTCCTTATCTGGTGCATCCGTTTTATGATGATATAGTTTATGAAAGCTTGTAGAAGCACTCTTCTAGTAAAGAAACCAGATGTCATTGCCATTTGATGAAGTCATTATGATCTGATATTCATGATTCTGCTTTCACGACCTATGATTTTCATGCTCCGAAAACATCATTGCCTGACAAGAGATATAGCAGTTTAATTTTCCAGTGATCTATTGCCCATAGGTTTTCTTCTAGTATGAGCTTTCTTCTTGTGCTTCCATTAGTTACTAATTGGCCTTTTTATGCCAATCAAATTCATCTATTTAGCATGTTCATGATTGCCCCATAAACAGAAAATGAAGGCACTAATTATTCTTTTGCAGAACTAGAATTCCTTCAAAGAACATCCAAAATGAAGTGTCTCACAAAAAATTTTCACAAAAGCTGAGATCAAAATACATGAATTTCTCTTAACCAAGCTTAGCAAGAACATCATTCAGAGCAGATACAGTCTGAGCATAGTACTTCTCTGCTTCAGGGGTGCTCTTAATCTTTGCTGCATGGTCCAGCTGAAAAAGAAAAAGGCAACTCTTTAATAACTGAAAGTGTTTGATGATCAAAACAACCTAATCCGATGGTGTTTTTAATGCTATCAACATCAACAAAATCCAATCAAATTAATCTATTGCTCACATTGCTGATGGTATCAAAGAGTTTTCCAGTAAGTTCCTTGAGGGATTTCTTCTCATCCTTGGACTTAGCAGATATAACAGTGTTGAGATCATAACGAAGATATGAAGACTTGAGGCGAAGATCATTTTGGACATAAGGCCAAGCCTTCTTGTCAATCAAACCTTTCACACCAATGATTTCCTTAGCTGACTCCTTAGCCCTTGCTGCTGCCGCAGCTGGGGGGAGTGGTTGCAAGAAAAACCTTTCTTTCAATGGCAGGACCAAGTCTCTTGCTTCATCAGAGTTCAACGTCCCAGCTGCCACCACACCAATGTGGGTCAACATACATAGTTGGATATATTTTACAAATAGCAAAATAACCAAGGAGGATTATTAATTCATGAACTTACGTAGTCCGCCAGAAGGAGCGGGAGGAGGGCCAACTTTGATAGGGAGAGAGGCAGCAAGAACAGCTTGAACAAAAGAACCAGAAGCCAAACCAGCGGCAACAAGACCCAACATGCCCCTACGGCTAGTTTCAGGCTCACCGGACACTTGTTGCTGGGCTTTAACAGTAAGAACAGGACGTGCCACAGCCACACGAGCGGTGTTGCTAGGCACATTCAACAACCTGTTTGAACCACTTAGCTGGAGGCTACCTTCAAGGACAGCCTGAGATGTTCCACGTAGGCCAGCCATTGAAGCCATTGCCTGTGCCATGTATCAAATTGTCTCTAACAAGCTCTGTGCTGCTCAATTTGATTCACTAAATATACTTTTTTGGAGAGCTGATTTTGCTTGTCAATGTGTTTGTGATGTAGATTGGTTCTTGAGCTACCATACCTTATCTGCCCAACTTTCTACTTGGATAAGCTGGATATGGTTTTCACCAATCATTGCTGTACATGTGTAACCTGGGCTTCATGCTGGTTTGGTCTCTACTTTGGACTGGTAGAATCATGCCGAGTGAATACTAACAGTACTTAAATCCTACCGTTAAAATTCTTCAATCCTTGGGTTCCATTCTAGAATAATTGAAGTTAATTGCACCCAAAATTTGTCTGGTAAATGCTGTAAATCATCAATCTATTTTCTATTGGATAAAATAATTTTTTAACAACTTGGTTTTTATTTTAAAAAATAAACTATATTCCATTCATAAATTATAAGCTATATAATGGAGTCTAAATTTCAAATTTATGCATAATTTTATAAAAAATGCTTTTTGAACAATAAGATAAAAATTCATTGAAAAATAAAAATTATAACTCCATAAAATAAAATAAAAATTAAAAATAAGATGGGAATCAAATCAAATAATAGGGTGGAAAAATCTCTCACCTCTCATGACACCAACTTCAACAAAACAAGATTAGAATTTCATGCAAGCGGAAGCTAGTAGAATGACACCACCACAAAAATCACAAGAAAAAGACATAAAAGGTTTAATGAGTGAAAAATATTGTAGATATGAACCATGAATTCATAATTTTTTTTCCTAAAAAGTAAAGCACATGATAGTTACCTTTTTAAAAAGTTTACATGACCTTTAAATAGATTAGAAAACTTTATCTTCACTAGAAAATAACAAAGAATTTAAAAACATTAAAAAAATAAACAAAATTTCTGAATTAAAATATAGAATTCAGAAAAAAAAACATAAGAAAAATCGTAAATTTTTTCATAATAGGAGCATCAATGTTTTAAATGTGATTCTGAAAAATCTGACTATCTATTTAGCAATACAATGACTATCGTAAAGAAAATTATCCTTAGAATCACCTATAAATATTTAATCCCAATCTAATAATATCATAATTTTAATAAGTTAATTAATCTTGGCTGATTCATTTTTTTTTTTTTATATTTCTAGATTTGTCCCATTAATTTATAAAAACATCTATTTCATTATTTATATAATTTATGTGAATTAAATCATCTAGTAATATCAAATTATCACCCAAAAACTCAGAAACACTATGTTTACGACATCAAATTTTCTTGTTCACTTTCTAGTCAGACCTAATAAAAGTTTGATTCAACCATCGAATGCTTGATGGATTGGGTAAAATTGTCATCTCTAGTTGGGCTATGGTTTACAAGTTTAGCGATCTTCATAAACTGGGCCTGGAGTAGTAGTTCAAAGTTTGAATTTTGTGAACCAAATTAGGGCCCAGTAAAGTACACTTTTCGAAGAGTGAAGGGCAAAACAGTAAGGAAGTACAGGAAGCGCCACTTCTCCCAATTTTGAAATCAACGACTCATTTCAAATTTCACTCTCCGCCCAAAACTCTCCCTGTCTCTCTCAGATCTCGACTCTCTCTATCTGGTTAATCAAACAAAACCAACGGTCCAAATCCAATCTTGGCTTCTTCCATTACAACGTTGCTCAAAATCAACGGCTCTGATTGACACTGCCTTTGATTCCAATGGCTTCTAGGAACCAGAATCGGCCACCTCGTAGTCCTTCTTCCGTAAGTAGTCCTGCTTCTTTTTTTCCCCTTTCTTGTTGCTGTTTTTGTAAAGGGGCTGTTTGGTTGCAGAGAAAATAAGAAGTTTTGGATCCAGGAACAATTGAAGAAATTTAGATGATTGTAGTTGTTTTTGAAGAATAATATTGATGGGTTTTGTGTTTTATACTGTTGACAACTATGCGAAGCGATTTTTATTTTATTTTAGTTTAATTTTATGCAATAAATCTTACGATTTTGCCTTAATTCCGGTTCTAATTAGATATTTATACTTGATGCTTAATTTTTCGGTAATCTCATTGTTTTTAACTGGTTTAGTTTAGTCTGTAATTTGTCTTTCTGGGTTTCGAATTTGGGTTCTGCTAAGTTGATATTTCTGTTTTAATTGACATTTACTGTGTTTGATTGAAAAATTATGGCGCTGTTTGATTGAGTTTTTATATTGGGTTTTTGTAGAAGAAGGAAGGGGTGGAAGGTATTCCTTTAGATAAGCGGAGGAGGATTGGGATGGGAAGAACAGGAGGAGCTACGAATGTGGAGCGCAAGCCATTTGGTTCTGTTAACAGGAAGCTGGATGTTACTGCAACTAGTGATGTGGGGAGCTGTGCTGAGGGTTCGGATTGTGGCAATGTTGAGTTTACCAAGGAAGAAGTTGATGCGCTGGTCAATGAGAGATTGAAGATGAAAAAGTTTGATCACAAGGTTTTGTTTGGTGATTTTGGTTTAGTGAAGGATACTGTTTGTTGGGTTGGTTTTGTCTTTCTGAAGTTTGGTGCTGTTGTTTTGTTTTGGCAGGGGAATTTGGAATTAGTGAGTGAACTTAATGCTAGGCTTAAGGTTTGTATCAAATGGTTCCAGAAGAGAGATGAATCCCATGTCGAAGAGGAAGGAAAGCTTCAAATTGCTTTAGATGCTTTGGAGAAAAAGTGTACCGAAACTGGTATTTTGTGTTCTTTTAATGTTTCTTTCCAGTACTGCATGATCTTATGTTTGTCGACAAGTGATTGACAGTCTAATCTCTTGCACACACCCACAAACATTGACAGAGTTGATATATCATTCATAGGTCAGTTCCACTCTTGACAGTAAATTGATAATAGAACCCGATTATAGCTCCCCACATCGGCACATCCATCATGTGTTTCCACGAATTCCATACATAATTTAGTGAACCATTAATTAATTTAACTCTAGGCAGAGCACGTGATGTCCCTTGGGAATTGATATAACTTTTGTTCTTGTGTGAAATAAGATGGGTTCTATTGATTGTTAACTTATGTTTCAAAGTTTAGCTAGTAATTCATCTTTACTAGATTACATTTTAACTAACATAGATGAAGCTGCTGTTGTGGGAATAGAGAACCCTAAACATCTGCTGATTTCATGGCTGGTTTTTTTTTTTTTTCTTTTCTTATTGTTCGACTAAGATGTAGGGAATCATGAAGACAAAACAGCTTTTAATGTTGATTCATATGTGTTCTTCCAGAGGCAGAGATGAAAAACAAGGAGGAGAGATTTAGTGCAACTATTAGTGAGCTGAGGCAAGATAATGCTTGTTTACAAGAGAGACTTTCAAAAGAAGAATCAGAAAAGCTGGTAATTTTTCAATTTTTCACTTTCTGTTGTGATATTTTCTTCCTGTTTCAACTTTATTTGGATTTTGTGGTTTGGCAACTAGGATGCAATCGCTTGTCATAGAAAGGAAAATGAAGCACGAATTGCATTAGAAGCTTCGCAGGCTTCTCTATCAAAAGATCTTGAGAAAGCCCAACAAGATATTTTAGCTGCCAATCAAAGGGTAATTCCCTTTAGTAACTCTTGCATCTTTATTTCTCAATGCTAATTCAATATTTTTTCCCTTTATGTTTCTTAAATCTTTATGTTGCTTCACTTAATGATTGATAACTTTGATGAAATTTTCAGGCTTCATCAGTTGATGATATGTACAAGCGATTGCAAGAGTACAACTTGAGTTTACAACAGTACAATAGCAAGCTGCATGCTGAACTTGAAGTTGCTCGCGAGTCTCTAAAACGTGTAGAAAAGGAGAAGTCTACTATAGTCGAGAACCACAGTACATTAAGGGGTCGCTACAGTTCATTGCAGGATCAATTAAATTTAGCCAGGGTATGTTCCTTTCAAGTAGTATCAATTTAACAGCTTGCAAGAATAGTTGGTTTCTTTAATTGTTCTCTTACATGCTGTATTTTCTAGACTGCTCAAGATGAGGCTTTGAATCAGAAAGAAACATTAGCAAATGAAGTGAAATGTCTCCGAGGAGAGTTGCAGCAGGTTAGAGAGGATCGTGATCGCCAAGTGGCTCAAGTGCAGGCTTTAACTTCTGATGTGGTGAAGTATAAAGAAAGTACTGGTGAATCCTGTGCAAAACTAGAATATCTGATGGAAAAAACAAAATCCTTGGAGGTTTGTTCATACTGACCTTATTCTGCCTTTTATTCGTTATTTAGCAAGTATTTTAAGATTAAGCTTTTGTTGCAGGAGACATGTTCTTCTCAGAGGGAACAAATATGCTTGTTGGAGCATCAGCTCACTGCTGCAAATGAAAAGCTGAAGGTAATGGAAGTTGTTGATCTTGTGCATCAAGGATATACTTAAGGAAATCTAACAATATCTTCATTTGTTTGTTTTAGATGTCTGATTTATCTTCTATAGAAACAAGGACAGAATTTGAAAAGCAAAAGAGAACTGTACGTGAATTACAGGAGCGCTTAGCAGAGACAGAAAATCAACTAGTTGAAGGAGAGAAATTGAGGAAAAAATTGCACAATACCATTTTGGTAAGGTTCTTTTGTGCTAACTCATTTATACATTCAAAAGAAGCCTTGGATGATGGTGCTAACAATTAAGAAATCATGTGTTGCAGGAGCTAAAGGGTAATATTCGAGTATTTTGCAGAGTGCGTCCCGTGTTGCCAGATGATGGTACTGGGTCTGAGCCACCAGTCATTTCTTATCCTACCTCAACAGAAGCTCTTGGCAGAGGCATCGATGTAATACAAAGTGGTATGTACATGTTTCTCAACAGAAATGCACCTAATAATAGGTAGTTTACATTTTCATTAACATATTTTTATTCGGTGAAATCCGTGCTTTCTTTATGAGAAATTTTTTTTTCTAAAATTTCTGGCTTTTTTTTCAGAAGGACAGAAATATCCTTTTACATTTGACAAGGTGTTCAATCATGATGCTTCTCAGCAAGAAGTTTTTGTTGAAATATCACAGCTTGTACAGAGTGCCCTTGATGGCTATAAGGTGATTCTGCTGTCTCTTTCTCTTGTACTTTGGGATATTTAAAAAAACAGATTTAAAAATCTCTCCCTTTCTGGATTGAAAAGTTGAACAG